GTAGTAGTAGTAGTAGTAGTAGTAGTAGTAGTAGTAGTAGTAGTAGTAGTAGTTGTTGTAATAGTAGTAGTAGTAGTAGTAGTAGTAGTAGTAGTAGTAGTAGTAGTAGTAGTAGTAGTAGTAGTAGTAGTAGTAGTAGTAGTAGTAGTAGTAGTAGTAGTAGTAGTAGTAGTTTGAGGATGGTTTTGTTTGAGCAAGGTTTTAGGGCGCCCGCAACTGCATAAATAATATAGGTCATATGAGCGCCAGTGGATGTCAACATAGGAGTGTGGAATATCAGGCTTACTCTGCTCACCTCTGCCTCTAGCCTCAACAGTATAAAGTCTGCTTCGACTACCAAGGCACCCCGGAAATAGCAGTTCACAAGAGGGACAAACATACAAAAGAAGTAGAGAAAAATGACGATAAGGAAAGAAAAAGCTGCAGTTCCTCATATGTTGTTCCGCCAAGTATGAGCATGACATTGATAAATCAGCCCATTTACAATACTACTGTGTAAAAGTATAAGAACATGTTAATACCCCCCCCCCCCCCCCCTACCCCCGCTTTGGGAAGGGCCTAAAGACAACTTCAGTAAGAAGCACTGCGCTTATTTTTTATTATTTTTTTAGGAGGGGGGGTGATGATGACGATGATATATTTTTGTTTCCTTAATGGGCCTTGTGGACTCCACGAAAAAATCTTCAAGCGAGAGAGAGAGGCTGTTTTTCGGCTCCATTGTCATTATACTCAGGGGCACTTCCTCTCGTCCAAATAACTCCGTTTGAGTTGCCACTGTTCCTGGACATTCAAACATGGTTGACATCCTCCTTTTCATTGTTGCATCTTCGGCAACGTAGGCTGAGCTCTTCATTCACAAAGTTCTGATACATGTACCATCCCATGCTCCGATGATGGTCCGACCGCAGTCTCAACAAAGATTCTCTACTACATACACGGTCTTTGTTCTCGCCAGCTCAACCTGGTCCCAGCGAAATGTGATTAATTGTTCCTGCTTATAAATTGGGTGTACCCAGAATACACACTTCTAGGAGCTGGTACTCAGCTCTGCATGGTGGGTCTCCGATTTCTTCTGTTGATCATTTTAAAGATTCCCGTATGTTTAATTGGTCCTGTCTCCTTCAATCTCTCTGGCTTCATTGACAGCTTGGTCTGCTGCCTCATTTCCCTCGATTCAAACATGGCTTGGAATCCACGGGATATTTATTGTGGCTGTAGTTTCACTGAACACTGATGATGATGATAATGATGATGATGATGATGATGATGATGATGATGATGATGATGATGATGATGATTTTTTTCCGTTTCCTTAATGGGCCTGACGGATTTCACGAAGAAATCTTCGAGCGAGAGCGAGCTCTTTTTCGGCTCCATTGTCATTATGCTTAGCGGCACCTCAACTCGTCCAAATAACTCCATTCGAATTGCCATTGTTCCTGGACATTTAAACATATGTTTGATATCCTCCTTTTCATGGCCGCATCTTCGGGAACATGGGCTGAGCTCTTCATTTACAAAGTTCTTATACCATCTTAAACTCCAATGATGGTCCGACCGCAGTCTCGCTATCTCAACCTGGTCCCAGCGACATGTGATAGATTTTTGTTCCCGCTTATAGGAGTACCCAGAATACACATCTTCCAGGTGCTGGTACTTAGTTCTACATGGTGGGTCTCTGATTTCTCTCTTGATTATTGGAAAGACTCCTCTGTGTGTCGTTGGTCGTCTGTCTCCTTCGATCTCTCTGGCTTCATTAGCAGCTTGGTCTGCTGCCTCATTTCCTTCTATTCCAACATGGCTTGGAATCCACTGCATTTTTATTGTGGCTCTGGCTTCACTGAAATTGCGGCGCAAATCATTCATGTCCGAGCTGTTGCCCAGCAGCCCCTTGCAGAGGGACTGACTGTCAGTCAAGATCAGCACATTGGTCCTACTGTG